ACATGGCACTATAAAATAGTTGGCAAATTGCAGTCAAAGAAAATGAAACTCAACTTTAAAAAGTAACAATTTAAACAGCTTAGGAATTTTGAACGGTTTTATTAATTTCAGATCTCTTGAATACTTATTATTAAATGAGAAAGCTTTCATTATTGCCCCACATACTTCTCAGGGAAATGAAACCTTTCCTTTTGCTTGAAGTGTTTTGACAGAATTTCTGAAAACAAGAAAGGAAGGGGCCTCCAGGGAAAAGTGAACACACCAGGCAAATGAGATTCTGGCTTTCCTCGTTAGGATAGAGGTTATTTTCAGTTATTGCCTGTGCCCAGTAGCTATCAGACAAAACTAGACTGCAAAAAAGAAGCTTGGGTTCTTCAGAACACTTTCCTAGTGAGGCCTTTATTCTACTTAATTGCTATAGTCTTTTGACAAATTTACCCCAGTCTTTCAAGATACCTTCGACAAAACAAATAAGTAATATTCAAAGAACAAATCAAATAATAATACTATTGTCTTTTTAAAAATTTTGTCTTTGCGCCCTCCCTTGTGGCACAGCGGGTTGAAGCACAGCACTGAGAAGCTAAAGCCACTTCCACATGAGTTCGATTCCCACCTGCCCCAGAGGTGACCACATGGCGTGGCAGACCTCTCCTGACTCCCCCGCTGCTCCCCTCAGCAGTGTACTTCGTCGATCTGCCTGTTCTGTTCCCCACTCTGTCTCTGGTGAAGCCTCTCACCGCCCCTGAGCCTCTGGCCTGTACCCCGGTTCTGTATGCAAAAATAAATAAATCTTTAAAAAAAAAAATTGTCTTTATTTTGATGAAAGGACTTTTTGTGATAGGGAGTCTAACAAAGCCCAGAGAACTTCCAATCATTTTTTACTCTAAGCACGCACACCAGGCTGAAGTATCTACGTATCTACAGCAACAGGAACCTAAGTGTTGATCTCTGAGGTTGGGGTACACTGCTGAGTGAACTCACTGCAACCAAACTGTGTGTCCTGAACTTCAACAGGTTGCAAATGAACTTACTATGCAAAAACTACACACTACAAACTTCCTTACATATAGTATTCCTAAATATACTCTCGGTGAATGAATAAGTGGTTTTAAAAGTCAGTGCATTGTCAAGCTGTCCCTTGGTGACACATCCTTTTCCTAAGAATAGTAAATAGAATGAAGGGTAGGATTTGGTAGCAGGAAAAATGTAGAAAGAATATTTAGAGTAGCTTCTCTCTGGTGCACAGTAAAATTGTGAAGTGACTGAAATGAATCTTCAGAGAATACTCAAACTTTCCTTTCTGTCTGGGCTTCTTGATTTACCCTACTGCCATGCTCTTTCCTTGACTTGTGAGAAGTGATAGGGAAGTTCACACTCTTGTCACGTCCTTCTCCTATACGACATACTCTGTCAACCCTGATAAACGAATTAGCACTGAGAACTGATACAGCTGAATGTATTCAGGTATTTTGTATTTTTTTAAATGAGACTCAAATATTAATCTTGAATTTATTAATGTGTCAGGACATCAGAATAGTCACAAAAACCTTTTAGTAATGCTGAATCACCACCCTATGCAGCCTAATGCCCCCTGTGGTTGTTCACACTTAAGGTTAAGAATGGGCTCAACCACTTTTCACTGATCCACAACGACATAGCCATCATCTGAGCAAAGGGGACCAAGATAGGAATTTCACTCCAGTGTTGTCTTAGCTGGGACTCTTCTCCATTTTTTACACAGGAAACAACTAAGTTACCGGGTTCTATTTTATGTCACAGATCAAAATCCATATCTACTTAAAGTCAGTCAAGATATTTAACAGGCTGAGCTCAAGATAAGTGTCTGAAACCCTGATTTTCTTTGGTATGTTATAAATGGCCTAACATATCTGTGGTCCAATTGTAAACTTGCATTTGTTAAATTTAACTATACAAGCAATCTGAGGAACTGCTTGTAGCCATTTAGGACACATATGAGGTTGGGGACATGCATTATGTAGTGGTCTCTCAGAAGTGATTTGCAAATTAAATTATTCAAATGTGCTTATCATTAGCAGTTTAAATAAATGACATTTATTTTGGCAAGAGATTAATTTTTAACTTGGCAGCTGTTTTCTGACAGATTGTTGTCCAGTTATTACTGTGCCTAACTTTGAAAGGAGGGAATTTATAGGAGATTATTATCTTCTCAGGCTTTCAAGCTTGTGTTTCTCCAAGGAAACAAATGATTTTGTCAATACCCCTCAGACACTGGATCCTGACGACATTGCAATGTTTGCATCTTTGTGACCTGATTTCAGTAATAATCCCACATATGGGAAACTAAAAATGTTCTTTAGAAGAGGAATTCTTTAAATATGCTCTTCAAAATCAGTTTTGTTGGTAAACTGAAGATTTATATAAGATAATATCATAGAGGAGCAGGGTAGTAGGCTGGGAAAAGTCCTGAACAGTTAGGAGGTCTCGCCTTAAGTCTCAAAACTGAGATTGTTGTATATTACAAAGGTGTTGGGTCTGTTTACTCACTGCAAGAAGAGGGCATTTATAATGTACTTTTGTCAAAAAGTCCACTGACCGATGAAACCAGTCAACACAGCATCATGTTTTGTCCAAAGTTGTCCTACTATCTGTACCAACACCAGAGGTTTCTTCACTTACTGCTCATTTTTTAAAGATTTATTTATTTAATGCATATAAGAATTGGGGTACAGGCCAGAGGTGAGAGGAATCACTAGAGACAGAGTGGGGAGCAGAACAGGCAGATATACTGAAATACACTGCTGAGGGGAGAAGCGGGTGAGACAGGATAAATCCGCCATGACATGTGGGTCACCTCCTTGGCTGGGAATTGAACTCCTGCTGCAGTGGGTGCAGAACACTTCATAGTGCTTTAATCCATTGCTCCACCAGGGAAAGCCCCCTCCACCTACTGCTTAGTCTGAAAATGCATAGTTCCTACTACCCACTTACCTCCAATTTTAATTTTTTTTAATTTTTAAAGGTTAATTTAATTTATTTATTTATGCATATAAGAGCTGGGATGTAGGTCAGAGATGTGGGGGGTGAAAGGAGTCATTAGAGACAGGGTGGGGAGCAGAACATGTGGCCTGATTGAAATGCACTGCTTAGGGAAACAGCAGGCAAGGAGAGATCTGCTGCACCATGTTGAGTCAGCAGCCTGGCCGGGGACTGAACTCCTGCTGCAGTGATAGTGCTGAGACTTAACCCGTGCATCGCCAGGGAGGCCTTTTGCCTCCAATTTTAATTTCTCCACTCAAAAACCACAAGTGATGACAATATGTCAACGGAGACGGCAACTATGATGGGACAGTAACTCCTAGCAGAAAAAAGAGGGGTTCCTAGAGAAGGGACAACTTTCATCTCTCTACTTAAACACTGCTTTGAATTCATAGTACAAAGCAACGAGTAAAAATAAAATTTCTATGAAACTTCACAAAAAGGCCCTCCCTGGTGGCCCAGTGGGTTAAACCACATCACTAAGAAGCTTAAGCCACTTCCGCCTTCCACATGAATTCAATCCCCGCCTTCCCCCGGAGGTGACCACAGGGCGTGGCAGACCACTCCTGACCCGCCCGCTGCTCCCCTCAGCAGTGTACTTCCTCAATCTGCCTGTTCTGCTCCACACTCTGTCTCTGGTGAATCCTCTCACCCTCCACATCTCTGGACTGTACCCCAGTTCTGTATTAATAAATAAATCCTTAAAAAAAAAAAAAAGAAACTTCACAAAAGGTTATAGAAATACCATAAAATAGTCACTAACATCCCATTTGGGTCAGTCTCATTGAAAAGAAACTCCAATAATTAAACTTCAAGCAATGTAGAAATGAGTAAATTTGATTTTTTTTCTTTTTTAATCAGAAAATGATGACTTATGGAACACTCCTTGATCTCCTTGATAGTGCAGTGGGTTAAAGTGCAGTGGGTTAAAGCGCAGCACTACGAAGCTAGCTGCAGCTGTTTTAGTACAAGTTCGATCTTAGGCAAGGAGGGTGACCCCCATGGCTCAGCAGACCTCTCCTGTTTCACCCACTCCCCCCCTCAGCAGTATACTTCATCAATCTGCCTGTTCTGCTCCCCTCGCTGTCTCTGCTGAATCCTCTCATCACCCCTGTACCTTTGGCCTGTACCTCAGTTCTGTATGCATAAATAAATAAATCTTTAAAAGATGACTTATGATTAAAAAATTCATATTCACTCTTCCCACTCTTTTGGACTGTGGTGATGGCATACGGGGTGAATTGGTGGTAGGAAGCCCATGGGGATTACAACTGAGATGAAAAAAATGCACAAAATGAAGAACGATGTAAAAAAAATTAAAAAAAATAATTAAAAATAAATAAAGGTAGAATACAACTATTTTATTGAAAAAATCGTATTCATTTCTCAGACATTTTAAAGAAAAAATACTCTCAGAATATATTTTGACAAATTAAGCTATAGCCAAGATGGAAATTTATTTTCAGTAAGAAATAAAATTCAGTTCAAAAGAATATAGAAAATGCTTTAGACATGTTTTTATAAATGCGCAATCAGATATGATGCATAAGTTCCTTTAAAAGGTTCTTATTTGAGGTCCTCTCTAATGGTGCAGGGGTTAATGTCTCAGCATTTTCAAGCTATGGCCAGCCACTTAGGCATGAGTTGGATCCCCAGACAGGGACCTCACCCACATGGCAGAGCAGACATCTCCTGTCTCACTTTCTACCCCCTCAACTGTGCATTTCAGTGGATCTGCCCCACTATGTCTCTGGTAAATTGTCTCACTCTCCAAGCCTCTCGCCTATACCATAAATTGTTCTTTATGCATGAATAAATAAAAATAAATCTTTTTTAAAAGGTTCTTGTATGAATATCTTATTTTAAACTTAACTAATTATTTCATTTATCTCTTGAATTACATGAATCATTAGCCTGAAGGCACATGAGAATTCTTTGCAAGATTCAGTCTAAGATGACAGGCATAACGTAAGACATCATACCTTGAAGTCATAGGTGGCATCTGGATTTTCATCACAGGCAATAACTTCTGGGGCCATCCAGTAGGGTGTTCCGATGAAAGTGTTTCTCCTGCCTACTGTTCGATCAAGCTGTGCACTGACTCCGAAGTCCACTATAAAAGAGATGACAATGAATAAAGTTTATGGTCTTTATATGGCTGATGAAATGAATGTGATTTTCATTAGAAAATAAGCATAATATAAATTTACCATTTTGATCATTTTTAAGTATACAGTTGTGTGAAATTGAATTCTCTCACATTGTTGTGAAACCATTATTATCATGAAAATTTACAGCACTTTCATCTTCCCTAAATTAAATTCTGTTCCCATTAACTAATAACTCCCTTGTGCTCCCCATCCCATCATTGGCAACTATCATTCTACTTTCAGTCTCTAAGGATTTGACTACTCTAGGCATATTATAAAGTAGAATCATATGTTATTTGTCTTTTTGCCATTAGCTAACTTCACTTGGCATAGTTCTCAAGGTTAATTCATTTTGCATTATATATAACAATTTCCTTTTTTAAGGCTGAATGATATAGTGTGTGCAGATCTCATGGTGTATTTATTCATTTATGTCTTGATGGGCACATGAGTTGTTCTTATCTTTAGCTATTTTGAATATGTAGTTTTAAAGTTCCATATTAAAATAGATAAGAGTGTCCTAGTAGTGAAAGCAGATAAAGCATTATATTTGATTATATTAAGACTCCATAGTGGGTAGAACATATAAGTGTTAAATAAAAGTCAAGCTTGGTTGCCACAAAGGTCAGGATGTTGGGAACACAAAGAATGTGGTTAAGAACTGAGTTCTGGAGCCAGACAGCTGAAGTTTGCATCCTGCTTCTGCCACCTACAAGTTATATGATCTAGGACTAGTAAATTGAGCACACTGATTTTTGGTTTGCTAATCTATAAAATTATGATAATGAGATCTATGCAGAGTTGCTCTGATGTTTAAATGAGATAATCTATGTAAAAGTTTCTTATACAGAGTCTGGCATATAATTTTCTCCCAACTGGTAACTTAATTAATGATGAGTCGATATCCTGAGGGGAGTTCATCTGGTCAGTATATAAATAATTGTTTTTCATTATATAATACATGCTTTTGTTTTCAGGAGTATTCATGAGATGAAAGCTTGGCCCAAATGACAAATATAAAATGTTGTAAGGTTTATGTTTTAATTAAAAGATATGAACAAACTAAATAAGAGGTACTTAAATCTCTTTGAAAATAAATAGTCATATAGTTCTTCTTAAGACAAACCATGCCTCTTATGTCATATCTGTCAGTTCATGCTTTTACATATATTTCAAACAAGCAAACACATGCAGGAGTATCTCTACTATATCTGGGTAATCCCAAGTTGGGTGTAGGAAGAGTACTCTTGAACAGCACTGAAGAAAAAGGATCCCTTCACTGAGAATTTTGGTAGATGGGAGTGAGATAATCAATTTATATGTAAAGTAGAATATGAGCATCTATTTTGCCCATGAACACTAGTGAAACTGACAGAAAAAGAACTTAAAAATGGAAATATAGCAAAAACTCATGCCTCTCATTCTTCTGAATGTGTTCTTCTGATAAACTATAAAAATGAGTCATCATTTTTCTGTTGGAGCAACAATATAAACAAATGGTAAGTATAGGAAACCGTTTCAAGGCCAGACACTCTAATGTAAAGGGTCTTTGTTAAAATAACATATAATAAGATAAATAAAACTCAAACATTCCTACCCTTAACTAAGGACATGATTTTATATACCATAATGTAACCAATTTACTCCTAAAATTTATTTTTAAAAAACAAAGAAATATTTGCAGTCCATTTTTAATACAATGTGCACAGTAACAAATTAACATTCAAATAAACACAACTTGCTATTGAAATAACTGTATCAGTTCCTGAAAAGCTAGCCTCACTGGTTTCTATTCTTACCCAATTTAACTTCTGCATTTTCAGTCAGCAAGACATTTTGCCCTTTAATATCTCGATGAATCACTTTATGCTGGTGCAGGTGACTGAGCCCCTGGAGTGAAGAAGAGTTGAGAAGGGTTAATAGGAACATAAATCCAGATGGAAGTAAAGTATTTGGGATGTTAATGATCTAAAACACATTTAAATCCATTCAGAGATACTTTCATTGTTAAATTCACATCTTTCATGTGTTCATAGGGCTATTAAAAATTGTAGGCGATTGTTAAATATAAATTGAAAACACAGGTGTCTTGACAATGCATAGAGCTGGCCAGATGAAAGCATGCCCATATCGACCTTGATCTCAAGTACCACAGGACCACAGTGATGATATGGTTCTGACATGGAAATTTCAGCTAACAGTACCATGAAAGTGAGGCCTGCTTGAATTTGCTAGGTTGTGACAGGGACATCTTACAGAGTATTCGTACATAAAACTGATTTAGTGCCTTCACTTTTTAAAAATGTTTAATTATTATTATTATCATCTTCTATCGTGGTTAATTTATGAACAGCATTTGATTTTCCCCTCACATTTATTTAGTCCTGGTAGTTCTACCACCACAGCACCCATGATCCATCATCATCGCCCCTTGTGCTCTTCCTCCCCTGTTCTGACTGCTCTCTCCCCTCTCTCCCTAACCACCCCCCCCCCATGCCTCAGATCTGTGGTCAGCTTGTAAGTTAAGTTTAGTCTTTTTCCTAAACTTCTGTTTGGCTTCTCATATTCCTCAAAGAAGAAGTGCAAATGGCCAAGAGGAATATGAAAAAATGTTCACCATCACTTATCTTCAGGGAGATGTAAATCAAAATTACAATGAAACATCACTTCATACCTGTGAGAATGGACCATATTAAAGGGGAAAGCAAACAAACAAAGAAACAACAAATGCTGACAAGGAACTCTTACACTGTAAGTGGGAATGTGATGCTTTCACTGTTTTTGAGCAATATGATGCTTTCACTGTTTTTGAGCAATATATTAATTTAAAAGTTACCTTCTATTTACATGGTTTTAATTAAGTACAATAAAATATTTCAGTCCAACTAAGAAATATTCTATTGTCTTTAGCCAATGTGATTCATATTCAAAATGAAAAACAATAATTTTTATTGTTTGTAGGCATAAATCAAAGTCACTTTTTTCTGGTTGATAATATTTATAACTTTGAGCCCATTAAAATAGTTATTTGATGAAATCTCACATAGATTATATTTAATTTCTTCATGAATTATTCTAATTTTGGTTTCCACATGGTGTGACTTCTAAAATTTATAGATTCCTCTAAGGCAGTTTTTTTACTCAGCTAAATTATAATCTAAAAGAATTAGTATTGAGTCTTGAAGTAAATTTAGTAAACGCTAAGACTTTTTTTTTTTAAAGATTTATTTATTTATTCATACAGACTGGGGTATAGGCCAGAGATGTGGAAGGTGAGAGGATTCACCAGGAACAGAGTGGGGAGCAGAACAGGCAGATCAACGAAGTACTGCTGAGGGGAGCAGTGGGTAGGTCAGGAGAGGTCTGCCACACCATGTGGATCTCCTCCAGGGCAGGCAGGGATCGAACTCATGCGGAATTGGCTTAGGCTTCTTAGGGCAGTGCTTTAATCTGCTTTGCCACCAGGGAGGGCCCAAACGCTAAGACTTTTTAGTATAAAATACTGGCCAATTAAGCACTATCATTTTATTATCTATGATTTTCTATACTTTAAATTTTTCCCCACAAGAAAACCATGGTATGAAAGATGAAGTTGACACAAAAAAGAAAACCAAACTAAATGTCTGGAATTCTCTGTTGAAAATACTCAGCATGAGAATACTGATGCCCCAAAAGATCACTGTGTATGTTTTGGTCTATCAGTAAATATAAATCATATGACATGACAAGTTGTGCCATTGACTTAGCCTTTAAAAAATGACTTGTCTTATCTATTCAGCTGGCACACACCTTCATTTACTAGGTTTTTATTAGGCATCATGCAGATTAAAATGTATGGTTTTCATAGCATATAGACACCCTATAAATCCTTAGAAGAGAGAATAAAGAAGTGACTGTGGTTATAAGCAGATAATATAACCCTGACAGTGGTTAGAAGCAGATAATATCATTTCTGGCTCACCCCGTTGGGTGAGCCAGAAGTTGTATTTAATGAGTTCATACACTGCATGGAAAGCCATTATGAATGTTGTGGCCACAACATTTTATGAACAACTATTCCTTCCATGACTGATCTTATTTGAAATAACAGCATCATCAAGAGGATGTATTTTTAAAAAGGACAAATACCATTTTTTCCCCCACACATTTTTAAACTAGTTAATGAGAGACACTCATGGGGAAAAATATCTGGCTGCATACAGAACCTTGGAGAATATATGACCAGTGCCCCAGCAGTGCAGAAAAAAACTGGGCAGAGCTGCCCAAAAGCCTGGCATCCACTGGGTGATAGGGAAGGTGAAATAAGTCAGCCTGATTTCTTTGAATGAATAAAATTCTAAGTCACACTTTAAGCTTACACAATGGCATGTGAGGTAAATGTGAATGTAAGAGTTGAAGGAGAGTAGCTGACCTCCTGGCTTCTTCCTTAAATTTGTTGTGTGCTGTTTAAGAAATGTTTTGTCTACTCCAAGCCAACCATGGAGCCATTTTCCTGTGCTCTCTCTCAAGTGTTTTATTTTTTTATCTTTCACATTTATATCTATAACTCACTGTAATTCATTTTTGAAAAGCAGATTGCAGCTTCAGTTTTGTATAGTGTTATTGAGTTGACCATGATGATTTACTGATAAAGTCACCCTTTATTTATACACTGTACATTTCATTCATCATAAATCAAGGATTCATATGAAGTGAGTCTGTTTCTGTATTCTCAATTCTGTTTCATTGACAATTTGCCTATTCTTGTGACAATATTCCTCTGTCTTAATTACTTAGTGTCTTTACCACAAGTCCGGAGAAATGGCAGTATAAGTCCTTCAGCTTGTTCTCCAAGATAGCCCTGGCTTTTTGCAAAGAATTATTTCCATACAATGTCTTAAAAATCAGAATTATTTCTATACAATGTCTTAAAAATTGCAAACAATTATTTATTTGTTAATGTACCTGCGCATGCACCCAGGAAATTCAATGAAACCATAGATCAACTTTTTATAATATTAATTTTATAATCTGTGAAATGGCCCAAACCTTCATTTACTAGGTTAGTTTAATTTCTCTCTAATACCTTGTAGTTTTCATATAGACATTGTTCAAATCTTTTCTAAGTACTTGATTTTTTTATACCACTATAAATGTTATCGTTTTACAGGTTCAATCCCTATTTGTGGCCTTTCTTTTTTTCTGACTACTGTGGTTTGAATTAAATGCATAAACATCATTTTTAATACCTCCCTTTCATCCAATCACAATATCTAATTTGTCTCTCAAAAGCTTATTGTAGACACATCATAAAAACAGTTTTAACTTCTGTTCTCTTATATTAAAAGGCAGTTTACAAACAAATGATTGCCAAATAGATATAGAAGGAATACTCTACAAGAGATAACTAAAGAAATAAATTAAATATATGAATGTTTGCCTTTTCTCTGAATTCGATGAACAAACATGGCAATACTATTCACATTGCCTGATCCTGGGATTTAAAGGCAAAGAGGCAAACTTTTTGTTTAGCTATTTTGATTGATTTGGGTAATGAAGTCACTTAAGAGTTATTGTAAGCAAAATCAGTTAAACTAAGCTTAAATTAGTTATAAACATTCAAAAATGGAAAACTCAAGTTATCAAATATCTCCAAGACAACCCATTTTCTAAAAAGAATACTATATTTATGATTTATAGTCAAATTTCTATTGGAAACATCACTGGAAATGAATCCCATGTAAGGGAACTCACCCAATGAAAGAGCAAGTGGGCTTATTCACAGTGGTTCTTACTCCCCTACAGCAGATCTCCAGAAACTGCCCCCTCCCCATTACTGTTAGAATAACATGTGAAAGAAGTTTCTGATAATTCTGTGGACTTAAATCAAAAGTTAATACAAAGTTCAATACTTCCCATGACAGCATGTGCTGTTACTTACTCGTAAGATCTCCCTGCAGATGTATGCAATCCATTCTTCCTTCAATGTGTTACCTTTTGTGTTCTTGATCAGGTCAGTGACTGAACCAGCACCACAAAACTCCATCACCAACTAACAAGGAAGCAAACAAACCATTATCATCATTTCACTTCATAGTTTCCACTGAGTTGAAATGAGAAGGCATAAATCATTCTAGTTGGCTACTATGGAACAACACTCCTGCAAGAAAAATGACCACACAATGATATATAAAACACAAACTTAAAATGATAAGCAAGGGAACTGTAACAGTAATCAAAGCATCCAAAATATAAAAAAGGTTCAGGACCAATAGTTTCGTTAATGAGCTCAATCAAACCTTCATAGAATAACTAATACTATCCTCCTCAAACTCCTCCAAAAAAATCAAAGAAGAATAATCATTTCCAAATATATTTATGATGTCAAAGTCACCCTGATAGCAAAAGTAAACAAAGAAGACACACAAAAAAGAAAGCTACAGATCAATATTCCCATGAACAAAGCCACTGTGGCATGTTTGATTCCCAGCCAGGAAGGTGACCCACATGGTACAGCAGACCTCTCCTGTCTAACCCACTGCTCCCCTCAGCAGCATATTTCAGTAGATTCACTGTTAATATTCTCACTGTTTCTGGTTAATCCTCTCATCTCCCAGTCTTCTGGACTACACCCCAGTACATTAAAAAAAAAAATCTTAAAAAAAGTCCTCACCAAGAGCTCTCCCTTGTGGCACAACAGGTTAAAGGACTGCCTTGTGAAGCTCTCCAAAGCTACTGCAGCACGAGTTCAATCCAGGCCCAGGGAGCTGATTCCCATGGTGCGACAGACCTCTTCTGACCTGCCCACTGCTCCCCTCAGCAGTTACTTTGTCAATCTGCCAATTCTGCTCCCCACTGCCTCTGGTGAATTCTCTCAACACCCCTATAACTCTGGCCTGTACTTCAATTCTATATGAATAAATAAATCTTTTTTAAAAATGCACAAAATTTTAGCAAATTAAATTCAACAACATACTAAACAGATCATATACCATGACCAAAAGGGGTATATTCCATAGATGCAAAGTTTAACATCTGTAAATAAATTAAAATTATTCACTACCTCATCAAGAGGAAAGATAAAAATCATATGATAATATCAGTAGATGCAGAGAAAGCCCTTGACAAGACCATGAATACATTAACTATCAAAATGGGAAGAAAAGAAACATACCTCAAAATAATATTTTTCATGGCAAACCTACCACAAACACCAACTCAATGGAGAAAATGAGGTAAATGATAAGAATGTTATCTTTTAGCACTTATTCAACAGTGTTGGAAGTACTATTTAGACCAATTAGTCATGTAAAGAAAGAAATTAATCCAAACTGGAACAGAAAAAGTAGTACTAGCACTATTTACAGATGATATGCTAATACAGAAAACTAAAGACTCCACTAAAAAATTATTAGTAATAAGAGTACAGAAAGTGACAGTCTACAAAAATCAACATATACAACTCTGCTGTCTTCTTAGAATGATAAAGTAAAAAAATAGTGCCATTTACAATCTAGCAAAAACAGCTGAGCACCTAGGAATAAACTTAACAAAGAAGGTAAAAGACCTGTATAATGAAAACTGTAAGCCATTGCTTCAAAAGAAATATAAAGAAGACACAAGAAAGTGAAAAGATATTTCATACTCATGAATTACAGGAATAAATATTGCTACAATGGTCACATTTTCAAAGAATTATAAATATTTAATGCATTCCTATCAAAATTCCAATGGATTCTTAAAATATGCAAATATCTCTGCAATTTATGTAGAATTATAGGAGGCCATCAATAGCCACAGCAATCCTGACAAAAAATGAACAGAGGTATTATGCTCCCATATGTCGAATTACACTACCAAGCAATAATATTCAAAACATATGGTGTTGGAATTTAAACAGATATACAGGTCAGCTTAATAAACCAGAATTGGGAGTCCAGGAATAAATCCACATTTCATAGGAATCAAAATGGAGAAAGAAAAATATATTCAATAAATGGTGCTGGGGAAATTGGACATCCACATGCAAAAGAATGAAACCAGACTACTATCTCATACTATATACAGACATTAATTTAATGTGGATAAAACACTTGGTTGGAAGTCATGAAACCATAAAACACATAGAGGGAAACATACTAAACACTGTCTTCAGTGGTGTCTTTGGGGATTCAACTATGATGGCAAGGAAGACAAGACAAAACAAAACAAAAGCAAATGGAACTATATCAAATTAAGAAACTTCTTAATTATCATTAAATGAAAAAGTCACCCTAAAAAATGGAAGAGAATATTTACACATCATACATCTGACAAGTGTATAATATCTAGTATTCACAAAGAAGGTATACAACACAACATTAAGAAAACAACGCATTCAAAAAAACAGGCAGTATTGCTAAATAAACACTTCTACAAAAAGACCTACAGATAACTTCTACAAAAAGACCTACAATAGGCACATGGAAAAATGCTTATCATCCCTTATTATCATGGAATAGCAAGTCAAAATGACAATGATATGATATACCTCACACATGTGAAAATGGCCATATCAAATATATCAGAAACAAGTGCTGGTGAAGGTATAGAGAAAAAGTAACACCTATACACTGTTAGCAGGAATATAGATGATCTACCCTCTGTGAAAAATTCCATAGAGATTTTCCAAATTGCTAAAAATAGATTTACCATATGATCCAGAAATACCTCTCCTAAGTGTCTACCCAAGGAATATAAAAATACTAATTTGAAGGTAGATATACACTCCTGGGTTGATTGCAGCACTAGTTATAATAGCCAAGTAAAAGAAACAATGTAAGTACCCAAAACACTGAGTGACTAAGAAGATGTGGTTATACAACAGTGGAATACTATTCAGCCATTAAAGATGAATATTTTGCAATTGAGAGCACATGGGTGTTACTGTAAGGGAGTATGCTACACCAAGCAGATGGAAGGAGACTAAGCCTAGCAGACTTCACCCACGTGGGTTATAAAGTAACAATAAAATGACAGAGGAAAGTAAATTAAAACAAATTATTCAAATCAAACTGACGAATTAAGGTCATGAAAAAGGGGCTTTCAGGATGTGAGCAAAGGGAGAGGGGGCTCAATGGACTACGAAGGAGAATTACCGGTGCTTTGCTGGTGGGTGTTTGTATGGTAGGAGACATTTGTAGCAATATGAATCTATATACGAAAGCATAAATAGCATTGTAAACCAATGTTATCTCAAAAAAACACAACGAAATAAATAAAACGTCTCCCCAAAATTATAGAAAATGCTGCTTTTAATTTTCATATATGAAGGGCCCTCATGATTTAAGCAACAGTTTAAATCATAGCACTATGAAACTATCCAAAGCCACTGCAGAGTGAGTTTGATCCCCAGTCAAGGAGGTGATCCACATGGTGTGGCAGACCTCTCCTGTCTCACCCACTGTTTCCCTCAGTAGTGTATTTCAGTGGATCTTTGCCTGTTCTCCACTCTGTCTCTGGTGAATTCTTTCACCCCTCCCCCACACCTTTGGCCTGTACCCCAGTTCTGGTATGCATAAGTAAATACATCTTAATTTTTTTTTCATACCTTAAAATCATAGTTGGAAACAGAAGAATATTTTCATATTCTAAATACTTTTTTAAAAGATTTATTTATTTATGCTTAAAACTGGGGTACAGGTTAGAGGTGTGGTGGGTGAGAGGATTTACCAGAGACAGAGGGGGGAGCAGAATAGGCAGATTGACAAAGTACACTGCAGAGGGGAGCAGCATGTGGGTCAGGAGGGTTCTGCCACGCCACGTGGATCACCTCCAGGGCTGGGGATTGAACTCATGCTGCAGTGGTTTCAGAGTGCTTCATAATGCAGTTTTTAACCCGTTATGCCACCAAGGAGAGCCCATATTCTAAACATTTTTAAGAGGGCAGCTAGGTGTTCAGAGATTGTTGAGAATAGCTCTATACCTTTACCTAGCAGTTGAACTCTGTCTTTCCTATAAAAGCAGAATTACTCCTTTTCTGAAATAACTATTGGTTCTCTAGGCTGTCCAATGTTAAGACAATAGAAATGCACACTATTTATATTATTGGTTTGTAAATGGCACTGTAAGCTGTCAGAGTAGGGACTATCTGTTTTTAATTAACTTCAGCAAATGTTCCCAGGAGGTTGGACATATTGAATAAATTCAATAAACAATAAGCCCTAATTTAGCACCTTTCATCCAAGAAGCTCCAAGTTCTCTATAAATATAAACTCATTACAGTACTCAGCAACCTTATAAAACAGAAGAAAATAAAACATTTCCCTTTCTTAACAGGGAAGTAGAAACTAGAAGAGGAAAAACAGCCCATATGATTTTACATTCATTTTCTAGATTTTGGAAAACACAACCATTTCTTTATGTTATTCTTCAAGAGGAGCTTCAACAATGTCACCCTGTTAGTTATTGCACTTTTTTTTGTTGCTATATGAAGAGAAGTCAGAATTGCTAGCAATCAATCTCTGACTTGACATTAGAAACTTACTAAAGTGGAGCCATAATGTAATCATAATGATGGTTTTGACTTTGTCAAAATGTACGTTCCTAACATCTATGCCATATCACTGGATCCTAACAGATACCCCTTCCAGGTGGCAAAATCTCTGGACAGAAATTATGTTTGCTTGTTATTTCCTGTATGCCAGTAGCTATATGTGTGTATATATATATATATATATATATACACACACACACACATACATATATACATATACATATATATATGTATATATACAAATTTATAAAATGTGTTTCATGAATGATTTTCCAAAGCCTATTCTGACGTCGTTCTATGAATCCCAAAAAGGCAGGGAACCTTTCCATCTTTTCCAGTGTGCCAGTGGAAGTTTAGGAAGTGACCAGAATCATTTCTAAGGAAATTTGGACATCATAACAGATCATGTCCCAACCCAGTAAGAGTTGTAAGATTATCATATGATGCACAGATCATAGATCATCGTAGAAAGGATTCAGGAATCACCTTTAAAAGGTTCTTCTTGGCCAAAGAAGGAA